TGTGTCCTGCTGCTTGAAATAGTATTTTTGAATAGTATTTGAGTCCAGAGTGCGGAGCATGACCAATGAGCCAAGCCAGGCCGGTGTGATATGAGATGAGAAACACTTGGCTTCTTCCATGCTGTGTTGAGAGTTCAGCGAATGTCATGAAATTATTATCATTCCGTCAAAAATCACAAGAGGAGTGTCAGAGAGCGTCACGATCTATTTTCTCTTATCTCAACGCAGCCATTGATTGAAGGGAGGTATCGCATACGCCATGGAGACCGTGCAAGTGATGTATTCGCTCGCGATTGGTTTCGGTTTCGGCGGATTGATGTTCGCCATCACATACGGAGGTTACAGGCAAAAGTTTTCAAAGTGGGTCAGGTACTGGCAAGGGTTATGGGCAGGGGCCAAGCAAAGCCCTCGAAGTACCTCCTCTCAAGCTCCTGTTACCAGAGCGCATCGCGCGCAGCAGTCAATTCAGAAAGGAATATGCATTCCGTTGGCATCAATAACTGCCTGCTGCCGTATAGGCATTGTATCTACACGCTCTCTAAGGATTTCCTCGGGGATTGCTTCCCACGCGCGTAACGTTTAAAGCCGGCTTGACGGAGGGCGTAGCGGATCGCATACTCTGAACAGTCCCAGCCTAGAGCAGCAGGGATTTTGGAGTAGGGCATTCGGCGAGTAGCTTTCGAGGAAGTGATGAACGCAATCAAATCTTCAATCTGTTCTGGATTGAGAAGGCCGGGCCGACCAGAGCGTTTCTTTGGCGTGATGTTTGGGGCGCGGCAGGCATGTCCGACCTGGTTGTAGGTAAAGCCGAGTTGCGCGACGATTTGCTCGTATGTAAAACCACATTTGCGGAGAGTCTGAACTTGAAGCCGCTCATCGCGAGAGAGATGGGCGCTCTTAGAATGATGGCTCGGCGGCGTAGAGGGGAGCTCTGAAGACATCGCGAAGCTGGTGATGTTTGAATTGACTGCTGCGCGCGACGCGCTCTGGCAACAGGAGGTACTTCGAGGGCTTTGCTTGGCCCCTGCCCATAACCCTTGCCAGTACCTGACCCACTTTGAAAACTTTTGCCTGTAACCTCCGTACCATCTGTTTGGTGTCCTTCAGAAGATATTGCAGCGGAGGCAGGGTCTCCCAACGACGTGACTGGTGTAGACGAAATCCATGAGCTGCAGTGCCTGCCTGTGTGCCAAAGTGGGAGGGAGCTCCCGCAGCCTGAGGCTGAGCCTGTTTGGGGGCCGGAAGCCCCGGCGGGGTGAGAACTGCAGCGGAACCCCACCTACCCTTTTCGGGGTCGCCGACACACACCAACGGGCTGCCCCGCCATGACATAGAGCTCAGAACCCGTCTCGAGACTGGGTTTGCTTCGAGGAACAATTCAAGATCGACTACTGACCAGTTCCCGACACGCCCAAGATGAAACAAAGGTTCTCGTCCCTGGACGTCAAGGTAACTATCCCCTAGCCAAAAGGCAAGGAGCTTCAGCTAACCCAAATTCGTCACACTGCAGGTCATCGCACACGAGCTTGCCGAAGCGCTTGTCTCTTTGCGCCTGGCAAATATCTACGACCTCAACTCCAAAATCCTTCTTCTTAAATTTGCCAAGCCCGACAACAGGCAACAAGTCCTTATCGAATCTGGCTTCCGCTGCCACTTGACCGATTTCGCCCGCGCTGCCGCTCCCGCCCCGAGTGCGTTTGTCGCGCGCCTGCGCAAGTTCCTCAAGACACGCCGCGTGACAGGAGTTTCCCAGATCGGGACAGACCGCATCATCGAGTTCCGGTTTAGCGATGGCGCATACCGTTTGTACCTCGAGTTTTTCGCCGGCGGCAATGTCATCTTGACAGACGCCGACTTGAAGATCCTCGCGCTGCTGCGTATTGTCCCCGAGGGGAAGGGACAGGAACCCCAGCGGGTGGGCTTGACATATTCGTTGGAGAACCGGCAAAACTTAGGTGGTGTTCCTCCCTTGACGAAAGAACGCCTTCGAGATGCTCTTACCACGGTCACTGCGCAAGCCGCGACCGAGAAGGCCAAGAAGAAGAAGGGGTCCGATGGTCTAAGACGGGGCATCGTGACGACGATAACTGAGCTTCCTCCAGTCCTTATCGACCATGTTTTTCGTCTCAGGGGCTTTAACCCCACCACCACGCCGACCGAAGTCCTCAACGATGAGTCGCTATTTAACGCGCTGTTTGGTTCGCTCGAGGAGGCCCGCTCGATTTCAGACGAGGTTACGAGCTCGCCTACTGCGAAGGGATACATCATTGCGAAACCCAACCCCCGGACAGCCGAACTGCTTAAAGAAGGTGAAGAAGAGGAGGGACAGAAGGAGAAGGCGCGGAACTTGTTGTACGAGGATTTCCAACCATTCCTACCGAAGCAGTTCGAGGATATCCGGGACTGCGAGATATTGTCCTTTGATGGCTACAACAAGACGGTCGACAATTTCTTCTCTTCGCTCGAGGGTCAAAAGCTCGAGTCTCGGTTGCAGGAGCGCGAGATCACAGCCAAGCGGAAGCTTGAGGCTGCTCGCCGCGACCAGGCCCAGCGGATCGAAGGACTCCAAGACGTGCAGATGCTGAATCTCCGCAAAGCCGCAGCCGTCGAGGCCAATATTGAACGGGTCCAGGAAGCAATGGACGCCGTCAATGGTTTGATTCAGCAGGGAATGGACTGGGTAGACATCAACAAGCTGGTTGAACGGGAGCAGAAACAGCACAACCCGGTCGCCGAGATGATTAAACTCCCGATGAAACTCCATGAAAGCGTGATTACGCTACTTCTTGGTGAGGAGGAAGAGGAAGGTAAAGTCGAGGAGGAGATGGACTTTGACTACGATACCGATGAAGAAACAGCGGATGATGCCGCAGAGGAGAAATCTAAAGGGCCAGATAAGCGGCTTGCCATCGACATCAACCTCAAACTCTCGCCGAGGAATAATGCCCGGTACTACTACGACCAGAAACGCACAGCAGCTGATAAGCAAGAGAAGACTGTTCAACGGTCTGAGATCGCTCTCAAGAACGCAGAGCAGAAAATTGCCGAGGACCTCAAGAAAGGGCTAAAGCAAGAGAAACCCATACTCCAGCCCATCAGGAAGCAAATGTGGTTCGAGAAGTTCACTTGGTTCGTCTCATCTGACGGCTACCTTGTGCTTGGCGGCCGGGATGCGCAGCAAAACGAGATCCTCTACAAGCGATATTTGAGGAAAGGTGACGTTTACGTCCATGCGGACATGCATGGCGCCTCGAGCGTTGTCATAAAGAACAACCCTAAGACACCTGATGCCCCTATCCCGCCGTCAACACTCGCCCAGGCGGGTAACCTGTCTGTGTGCTGCTCCAGCGCTTGGGACTCAAAGGCAGCAATGGGTGCCTGGTGGGTGAACGCCGACCAGGTCTCCAAGTCGGCGCCGTCTGGCGAGTACCTTCCCGTGGGTTCTTTTATGGTCCGTGGAAAGCGCAACCTTCTGCCTCCATCGCTTTTGATGCTTGGCTTCGGGCTGTTGTTCAAGATATCTGAGGAGAGCAAGTCTAGGCACGGCAAACACAGATTGTATGACGTGGACACCAGCACGGCTGGCGCGGCTTCTGTCAGTGCCGCCGAGGCGGAGATGGATGTCGGCTCTGATAGAGATGATGCCATTGAGAGCAGTAACGAAGAGGGGGATGAAGATGGAGACAAAAAAGGAAACCCCCTCCAGTCAGGGGCAACGGATGAAGAGGAGCCGGAACTTGCCCCAGAGCAAGGCTCCGAGCCACCAACCGACGAATTAGCAGACATCCAAGTCAACCAAGATGCCCCCGACGAAGCTGAGCCCGAGGAAGAAGAAAAAGAAGGAGGAAGCCAATCAAACCCCGACGAAGACGGAAACGAAGAGGACGCCGAAGCGGAAGCAGAAGAGTCCCACCCCCCAACCCGCGCCGAAACACCATCCACCTCCTCCCAGCAACCGCAACAACAACAACATCAACAAAAAGCCCGCCCCCCCAAGCGCGGGCAACGCGGCAAAGCCAAAAAGATAGCCGCCAAATACAAGCACCAAGACGACGAAGACCGCGCCATCATGGAAGAGCTCCTCGGCGTCGCCGCAGCGCGGCAAAAAGCCGAAGCCGAAGCAGCCGCCAAAGCTCAGCGCGAAGTCGACGTCGCCGCGGCCGCCGAACGGCGCCGCCAGGCCCAAGAGCGCGCCCGCAAGCAAATCGCTGAGCACGAGGAAATCCGCCGCCAACAGATGCTCGACGACGACTCCTCCTCCCACCTCCTCCCGGACGAACCCACCACCACCGCCGCCGACGCCGCGACGGAACTCGCCCCGCTCGACGCCCTCGTCGGCACCCCGCTCCCCGGCGACGAGATCCTCGAGGTCGTGCCCGTGTGCGCGCCGTGGAACGCGCTCGCGCGCCTCAAGTACAAGGCCAAGCTGCAGCCGGGGCATGTCAAGAAGGGCAAGGCGGTCAAGGAGATTGTGGAGCGGTGGCGGCTGGCGGCGGGGAAGAAGGGGGCGGTGGATGACAAGGCGGCCGCCGAGGAGAAGATGTGGCCGAGGGAGGTGGCGCTGATTAAGGGGTTGAAGGTGGAGGAGGCGTATAATGTGGTGCCGGTGGGCAAGGTCACGGTTATGATGTCGGGGGGGATGGCGGGTGGTGGTGGTGGTGGGTCGGGGGGGAAGGGAGGAGGTGGGAAAGGAGGTGGAGGTGGGCAGAAGGGGGGGAAGGGGAAGGGGGGGAAAAAAGAAATAAATAAGGGATGATACCCTAGGTGGTTAGGTAGTTATGATTGCGGTGTGTGCACATTTTAGAACATGCGTATCTGTTGGAGCGCAAGTTGGCTCGAGGCCATTTTGGGACTACACACCAACCTAGACATGCCGCTTCCGACTCGTTGTGCTGCATGAACCACCTTCATTGATCGGGAGAAACGTCAACTGGCCACGAAGTATGTTTATACAACGTAAACAACCCATTTAGCCTTGGGCTTGGACGATTTCAACTTGCATTGCGTTTAATACGGCCAGTCCCCATCTCATGCAGCCCCCTAACGAATGGACATCCGATTCGGGCCCTGTCATCTTTGTTGCGCCTAAGATCCAATTATTTGGCGAATTGTCACTTTGGCAGTTGAGCAGTGCTACTTTCCCCACGGAGTATCCACTAAGTTGGTCAAGATTCAGCCGATTCCAGTCATGTATATTCGTACAGTCGTCTATGTGACCATATACCTCCATCAGAAGTGGCGGGCGGCTATCCCGTAACCTGGAGCTGCTTCTTTTAACGCGCTCGCTTGGATTCCTTGCCCTTCTTCGTCTTGACACCTGGCTGGATCCTCGCCATCATCTCCTCCTTGGTGATGAGATGATCGATCCTCTCGAGCAGGCCCAGCAGGCTCTTCATGTTGAAGCTCCACTCGTTGAGGATGTCGTCGGCGTCGCGCGGCTTGGCAAAGCTGACGATGCGGGCGGGACGATCGATCTTGGCGTAGACCGTCTTGGCCGTCACCAGCTCGCTGATGTACTTCTCGGTCTCGTCCTCGGTCAGGTCGAGCAACTGGGTGAGGCGGCCCATCTGGATGCGGGTGTAATACTTGGCGATAACGCGCACGTTGTGCTCGATGACGCGCTTGCGCAGGTCCTTCCACCGCTCGTGGGCATTCGGGTCGTCCGAATCGTCGGCGTCTTCGTCGAAGACGTCGGTGTCGGTCAGATGCGGGCCGAACACGCGGGCGACTTCGGGCCATCGCATGAGCTCGTGGACGGTGAATAGTTTCAAGAGCTCCGCATCCTCAGGGACGGTGGAATTCCGCGTGTCCTTGTGAACCCTGTGAAGCAGGTCGTGTTGCTCGTTATCGTGGGGCGCTAGAATAATGAAGTAGATGATTCTCTGTAGCACCTATCTTAAAGTTAGCAACGAACTGCTGGGCCAAGGGCCTGGTGTGCTTACGAAACGAAGCTTAACAGGGTCCTCCTCCACCGACTCGGTGTCCAATACTTGTCTGTAGTGCTTGCACACGTCGAGGTACTTGCCCTCCTGCTGAGACAGCTGGATCTGTTGCCTGTAGTAGCGCAACTTGAGGTCTGTGACATCCTCCTCCTTTTCGGGCTCCTCCTCGGTCTTGCCTTTCTTCTCGCGCTCCTTCTTTTCCTTTTCGAGCTGCTCTGGCGTCTTCTTGGGTTTCCGGGCTAGGTACCGGGTGCTGATCTTGCGGCTCAGGATGCCAGCCTGTGTCCAGTCCTTGTTCTCGATGCAGAGTGCCACTTGCGCCAAAATAAACTCGGTTTTCTCGCGGCGGTCCATTGAGCCAAAGGTCTCGACCTGGAGTTCACATAGTGTGTCGGCCGCCCCCTTGAGGTCGCCCTGCTTCTTCTTGATGTCGGAAAGGATCTTGGTAACGCGAGCCCGCTCGACCTCGACAAAGATCTTGCCCTCAGTGACTGTGCGTAGGGTCTCGATCACGGACAACTTGGTTTCCATGCTCGGTGTTTGGTCCAGGAAGCCGACGACTGTCTGAACCATCTTGGTGATGGCCTGCTTAAGCTGGCTATGCTTCTTGGAGAGCACCAAGGTCTGGTCGCTGAGGAGGCTCCAATCGCCAGCATTTTTGCAGATGGTGACGATGGCGACGAGGATTCGTGATGTTGAGGCGAGGTCGGAGGCCTGTTGGGCATTGTTGGTTAGCGGGGAGCGGGGGGTGCGGGACAGGTGGGTGCTACCTGGCGGGTCTGCTTCTCCAGGAGAGAGAGCTTCTCGATGGCGGCATGGATATCTGTCTACTTGGAGGTTAGACACATACTCAGTAAATTATTCGAGCTCGCATACCTTTGCAAGCCGCTCGGCCTCGGGAATCTGGGTGTCGGCCTCCTTGGAGTAGTCCCGCTCGGGCTTGAACGCCGCATCCGCCATGGCCACAGTTGTTTCTTGATTTGGTCGGTGGGTGGTGTGTTTGTTGCCTTCCGGATTATAGGTAGCTGGCGGGGCGGGTTCGCGGTGAAGCACGAGCTTGAAAGTTGGGATCGGTTGTTCGTCGTTGGTTGCGGTTGGTGGTGCCTCCCACCTGCGCAGCCGCAGCCAAGGCCCACGTCAGTTTGGCCCTGCCTGCTGCTGCACAAGGCTGGTCCTGAGGCTGAAGCTTGGGAGTGACCCCACCATAGTGGTAAAATTAGCCACATGTGGCGGCTTGGGCAAGCACCCCACTTGAGTTACCTCCATTGGTGGGCAGGACATGGGCACCTCTCTCCCAAGCCAGCCGCCCTGCATCTTTTGGCCAAAAAAAAGCCGAACTCGAAAGGGAGCGAGATAGTTATCAGGAAAGGTGAAAAACGAAAAGAAACTAAAGAAGAGGGAAAGATGTAAAGAATACCGAGAAAAATAGCTCAAATAATAAAAGTAGCTTTGGGCTTCCGAATGGTTTTCTTATCTTTTCTCTAATCGACAGTTTGCCGGCACTTACACTTCTAATGGGGTTCAGCTTCCTGTGCTTGGTGCGCAGTTCAGCACCGTCGCACCAAATCCGTCGTACTGTGTAGAACGCGATGCTCGCCTCGGATGGATTGCAAGTGCAACTTGGAGGGGCCAGTGAGACAAATTGATACCGAGAAGCCCCATCACATCTTTACTGTGTATGTACATTCCAACCAAGGCGGTTTCCCTGGCTGCAGGCCACGTATCGTTGCTGAAGGGGCCCATCATTTCCGCCCTCTGAGCGTCTCGAAGAGTCGGACGGGCGAGTCAAATGCCAGGATGGCGCCAGGGACCCAGAATCGACACCGACCGGATATAATCGGAGCAACCACTTCTGTTCCATTCAAGCTCCCTTGGTCATGCGACGGGCGCCTTTTCGCTATCCAACGGAGCATTCGGAGCTGTTCCTCCAAAAGGTTGACGCCTAGTTATCACGACTCATTCGCCAGCTTCAAATAGAAAAAGCAAGAGGGCATCGTGGCTGGTAGTGGAGGATGTCAAGAAGTGGGTGTGCTCGAGCGGGCGTGCAAGCCGAAGTAGGCTGGTCTCCGGTCAGAGGGGTCGGCCCTGGAAAGCTGCGAACAGGCACAAACATCCCCCACTCTTGGACTCTGGGGTCGAGACCGCGAGCTCGCTCCAGTGGTCACTGCCAGTTTGATGAGCCCACCACCGCCCGCTCTCCAGCCGTTCTCCTACAATGAGCCAAGACTGCACCATTCCTGATCCACTTGACCAACTCGAACGGCTCATTGTGCTCCATTTGCTCTCCATTTGCGCTCCATTTGCGCTCCATTGATCGCTAGTCTTAACCAAACTCCGGGAACGGGCCGGGCAGGTGGTTCGTGTTTGGGTGGAACCGGACGGCGAATCTTCTGTTCGAGGGATTCCCCGGTTCTGGTTTGACTTAATGTTGTCATGTTCCCTCCTCTCACCACAACACCCTCCCTGGCGAATCGACCAAGACTGGATCGTGACAATTGAACTCGGTGCCAGTGGTTGGAATATTCTTAGGGGTCCGGCAATCTTATCCTTCCTAGGTTACTTTCGCGGTTTGGCTTCTCATCGACAAGCCTTGAGGCGTTGCGATCGGCATCCCGCCCGTGCCTCTAGCTCCGGCATCCCATTTCGGCGGTGATAGTTATACACGACAAACTAAGGCGCTGCGGTGTGTCCCGCATGCTCTCATCGCCAAGCGCCTGCTGTCAGCCTTCGGTCCACCATCCTGGGGAATTTTGGAATTGCGGCTGGACAACCTTGGGAACCGGGCTGTGATATCCCGTCAGTGTAACCATCGGATAATCGGGGTCTTGCCAACATACGGCGCTGTCCTTCCAGTTTGTTTCTGGCAGGTTTTGCGCATTAACCGTTGAAAGTGAGACTCGGGAAACCTGGGTCAGCGCATCAATGGACCGAGTACAGAACGAGCCGACCTTGTCGGTGACACCCGACGCCGAAGTCAAGTCAAAGAAACGGAGTCGCGCAGAGACAGACGCCTCGCCTACCGATGAAACTGCACAGACCACCTTTTCGGGCCCGAAGACGGCAGACCTGCGGCCCATCGCCGGTCAAGTACCACAAGCGGGCGCGAGGATCATGAGCAGTCCTTCCCGTGGCGCGTCACTCGAGCCCGCGCCGTCGGTCACGGGGCGTCCCTCAACTTCGGCCACCGACAGCGGTTCCACCTTCTCCCTCCCAGACAGCACCTCCTCGGAATCCTTCCCGCCCTCCACCTCGGCAGCTAGTTTCTCCACGGGGCCACGCGGGAGTCTCTCACCCCCTTACATGTTCGCCGGGCCATCTCACCCTCCTGATTACGCAACGGGACCGCCGGAGCCGACGGAGGAAGGCGAGGACGGGACGGATCTGGAGGAGCAGGCGGCGGCGCAAGCGGAGGCCGGTAGTATCGTTGTGGATAGTGACGACTTGGGCACCGACGATGGTTACGGGACAGACAGCAACACCACTGCGTCGACCTCGCTTGCCGAGAGCGTGCGCGACTACATCTTTGAGAACGGGCGTCGGTACCACAAATTTCGCGAGGGCCGGTACAACTTTCCAAACGACGATGTCGAGTAGGTGACTCCACAGCCCCCTTATTGCGCATGCGCATGCGCATGCGTGGGCGTCGTAGTCGCTAATTCGGTGTTTAGACAACAGCGCGAGGACATGAAGCACGCCATGGTCAAGTTGCTTTGTGGGCAGCTCTACTTTGCGCCAATCGGGGAGCGCCCCAACGAGATATTAGATATAGGGACGGGGACCGGCATTTGGGCGATCGAGAGTATGTATCTTTGTTGTGACCCCTCGCCATGATGGCCTGACTAACTGTTGCATAGTGGGAGATTTGTTCGCAACGTCGAACATCCTAGGTGTGGATCTAAGTCCCATCCAGCCCGAATGGGTGCCACCCAACGTGCGCTTCATGGTGGACGATGTAGAGTACGTGACCACTCAATCACCTGGGACTGCGTAATACCGACATACTGACCGCGTGATAGGAGCCCGTACGTTGCCTTGAGACAGGCGCTACCCTGCCCACCCTAGTCGTGTCCTTGTACTTTGCATGTACGAGGTAGATACTAACCAGACCCTGCAGCTGGCTTCACCCACGCAACTTCTTCGACTACATCCACTCGCGTCACACGGTCATGGCAATCAAGGACTGGCCGAAGCTGATGCGCCGATCACTAGAGTACATACCCCCTCCCTCCGGCCCCCTACTCTTACCTCGAGACACATACACATACGCACAAAATAAGAAGCTAACCCCACCCCCCCTTTTGAACAGACACCTCCGACCCGGCGGCTGGTTCGAGATGCAAGAAGTGTACCACTACCCGCTGTCAGCGTCCAAAACCCGACCGGTCCCCCCCGACCACCCCGTGGCGCGGTACTGGGCGCTGATCGACGAGGGGCTGGGCAAGCTGGGCATCAACTTCCACTCGGCGGCGGACGGGCGGCTGGCGGCCATGATGCGCGACGTCGGCTTCGTCAACGTCACCGAGCGCGTCCTGCAGATCCCTGTTGGTACTTGGGCCAAGAATAAAGTGCTCAAGACGGTGGGGCTGTATTGGAGGACGATTTTGATCGATGGCATCCAGGCGATTGCGCTGGGGCCGTTGACTCGTGGGTGTGGCTGGTCCCGTGAGCAGGTTGAGTTATTTTTGATCGAGGTGCGCAAGGGGTATCATGATAATAGCTTGTTGGCGTATATGCCGCTGCATATTGTTTACGGCCAGAAGCCGGAGGGGTATTAAGGGGGGATGGGAAGGGGGAAGGGGAAGGGGGAAGCGTTTTCCTTACGGAGTAGGACGCTATGATACCACGCTGTTGCGATTACTGTTGTTGTCCGGATGCACTGGAATGGAAGGTTGAATGGGGGCCATGGTGTTGTATATAGTATTCCTGTTGTGGAGTTGATATTCGGGTATTTTATATGTACATGTTACCTACTGTATACAGATTACAGCTCGAAACACCTCGGTTTACCCATTTGGCGTTGCGAACTGGAACACTGAACATCATCAGCAGCAACAGCACCAGCAGCAGCAGCCCCCTCGAGCCCCGTGCACCTTGCCAGCGCTTCCATCCGTTCCGCTCATCAGACATGAAAATCCACAGCCCCACGTCCGCCCAGACGTGCAGCGCTGCACAATTTCCCGCTAGGGCCACCCTTGCGTGTCTCGGCTGGCTCCCGAACCAGTGGCTGCCCCACCACCCCAATTGATGCCACAAAATCCTGCCGTGATTGGACCCGGGAATTGTCAATCCAACCCAAGAAACCTGTAACATCGGCCGTGGCTTTTCTGCCATGATGGTGCATTGCTAGTGTAGATTGCCTCGATTGCGTATCTCGACCGAATCTGGACCTGTGCTGCACCAAGGCCCACGAACCCGTCTTGCCCGTTCAACTATCGGTTACCAGATGCAGCATGCGAACGCGACAAGGTGACATTTTGCATTTGCGTGTCTGCCAAAACACCCTCGTCCAAGACGCTAACAACCTCGCCTTCTGCATTAGCCTACCCCTAACGAGCCCTAACCGACATGGGACGACATCCGAACATGGATCGTTGCACTTAGCCAACATGGTGTCGCGCGAACCCGAGAAGATGGGATGATAGACGGGGTCGGGTCGGTCTTGGGAGTTCATCCCGTTTACGGGTGACTCCAAACGGCTCGCTCGGCTTTTCGCGTCCCAGCGTGATTCCGGGATGGGTCCCCGGCTTGTCAGGAGTTGACACTCTCCATCCATCTCCATCCTAGAATTATCCCCAAGAAATCGACGATTTGCCTCGTCTGTTTATCTACTGGCACCATCCCTCGCTTTCCACGGACGAACACACCAAATCCGCCGGATTTGATTCGTTTTCAGGGAGCTACCTAGTAACACAGCTACACAGCTACACCGTAGCACACAAGGTAACTCACCCTGGTCACCCCCTTCCCCACGTTGATCCCGGCTGACCGCGGTCGCCCGGTCTCTTTCATCGAGCAGGATAGCCCGATTGTGCGGCTTGACAGACACCAGTCTCTCCTCCAATTCGCTAACGGGAATAGTAAAGACACTGCCGTGTAACCCAGAAACTCGGGCCAATTCGTTTCCTACCCCCTGAGGTCGGTAAGCATAGATGCCGCCTCCCGCTCATCTGGAACCGGACGGGGGGCTAATGACATTGTTGGATAGGGCAAACATACCGTGTTGTAAACTCTAGCATACCAATCGTTGATAAAGAGCTAGGTACGGATTGCTTGCCCTTTTTACACTATCAATCTGTGGTGAAGCAAACCCTCAACCGGTGGTTATAATGTGACTACCTATACCACCAGCTTCACCTTGCTTCTTCCCCCCGATCTGTAACACAACAACAGCGGGCCACGTGCTGACTTGAGGACTGGGTCTAGTCGAGATCTGTGCTCCCCCAAAAGCATCATCATAGCCAATCACTAGAGTCAAAAGTCTCACAGTGACACCCTGAAGATGTCCAGATTCAGGCTGAGCTCTCTCTTCCAGTCAAGCTCCCCCGCGAGCACAGACACCGAGGTCAAGAAGCAGAACCGCCGGTCTTTTTCCGCCCTGTCCTCCTCTCTCCGGCAGAAGGATGCCGAAGCCAACGGAGCCCCGGCCCCGGCCCCCAAGGTCGCTGCGGCCGAGACGGCGTCCGAGCAATCCCCGTCTCGCATGGTTGCTTTAGCCCGACAGATCACGCAGGCGACCGAGAAGCTGGAGGCGTACATGAAGGCCAACAACCTGCCCATGCCCAGCTTTGACGTTGATACCCCCCGCCGACTTCCCCAGGCTCCATGAGGACATCCAGCAGAGCAGGCAGGATATCATTATTGCGACCAAGGAGCTGGCCACGCTGGCCCATGGCCCTCGCGAGTCCGTGAGATGGGGTATCTGGGAGGTAAATGCTATCCAACCCCCTAGCGCAGACTCGGTATTGACAGCCCGGTCAGTTTTTGGACGTTCTCTCTCTTACTATCATCAACCACTACAAGCTCGGTAAGTCTTTTGGTGGGTTGAGTTTGCGCGGCACCCGTCTAATCGCACGCGGCAGCACAACTCGTTCCCATCGACTCGACCATTCAGCTCGCCGAGTTGGAGACCAAGACAACTCTGGACCGCATCAACCTCGCCCGGATCCTCCGCCTGGCCATGACCAACGGCATCTTCCGGGAGCCGAGCCCGGGCGTGATCGCTCACACGGCCGCCTCTCGCGTCCTTGCCGAGGACGAGGACATGCAGGCGTGGGTCGGCTTCAACGGCGAGGACATCTTCCGGGCCGCCGGCCACGTCCTGCAGTCGCTCAAGGCCGACCCGGAAGCGACGTCGCTGACCCGGGCCGGCTTCCAGTTCGCCTTCGACACGGTCGACAAGGAGCCCATGTTTGCCACCTTCGGCAAGGACCCGGAGCGCGCCCGCCGCATGGGCCGCGCCATGGCCAGCCTGACGGGCGGCGAGGGGTACGAGCCGGCGTACTTTGTCGACGTCGAGAAGGGCGGCTACGACTTTAGCGACCTGGACGCGGCCGGCGGCACCTTTGTCGATGTCGGCGGCTCGCACGGCTTCATCTGCGTCGCCCTGGCCGAGAGGTACAAGAACATGAAGTTTGTCGTGCAGGACCTCCAGAAGACGGTCGACAGCGCGCCCAAGCCCCTCAGCGCCGATCCCCAGGTCGCCGAGCGCATCAGCCTGGTGGCTCACGATTTCTTTGCCGAACAGGTGACCAAGGACGCCGATGGTGAGTCGACAGTTCTTTACTACCCCCCCATCCCCCAACCCCTTCCCTAAATACCATACCGCTCCACCCCGACCACCCACACCCTCATACTAACCCACCCACTCCCACCTTAGTCTACTTCTTCCGCTGGATCATGCACAACTACTCGACCCCCTACGCCATCCGCATCCTCAAGAACCTCGTGCCCGCCCTGAAACCTGGCGCCCGCGTCGTCATTAACGACTACTGCCTGAGCACCCCGGGCAAGGAGAACCCCTGGGACGAGCGGGTCGTGCGCCGCATGGATGTCGTCATGCTCGCGGTGTTGAATGCGCAGGAGCGGACGGAGAGGGAGTTTAGGGAGTTGTTTAGGGCGGCGGGGGAGGGGTTTGTTTTTAAGGTGTGTTGTTTTTTTTTTTCTATATTTTTTCGTTTTTCTTCCGGTTAATTTGGGTGTTTGGGGATTGGTGTTGGTTGATGGATATACTGTGATGTGGGTGTGCTGACTGTTATTAGGGTGTCCGGAGAGCCAAGGGCTGCCGTATGAGTGTCATCGAGGCTGTCTGGAAGCCTGATGAGGTGGTGAAGAAGGCTGAGGAGACTGCCGCGCCTGCGACGGTGGCCGATGCCTCTGCTTGAGGCGGTTGCCCATAAGCACTGCGAAGGAGAGGTGGGCGTAGAAGGTGAGTGTTTGATTACCCTTGGTTGTTTTGGTTTGGGGTGCCTGGAATCTGACTGTCAAGCAGGCGCAGGCCGAGATGAAGATGACAGTAGACGTTCTCTGGGGTTGTTTGGGGTGTCTTGGGGCGAGTATTGCTTACTTCGGGATAATATCTATTTTATGACGGAACGGGGGCTGGCGAGGTTGTTGTGGTTTAGAAGCCTGGGGGGGGTTGTTTGAGCTTGTGGATATGTTCTTCTTGATCTTTCCTGTTTTTGAGTTCGATACCCCTGTTTTGTACCAGCGACCAGAGTTCGTGCTTTGGCTACCTATGTAACAAACACAGCGGCATCATTGTATGTATCATAGTCACAGTGGGGGCTAATCCTCGTATTTACTGCTACCGCATCCCAGCGTTCATTACGGCCTCAGCGGCCCTGGGAAGAAGAGAAGCAACCCCTAAATATCTACACATCTCACTTGCCAGTAGGTAGGTAGTCATGGAAAACCCTCATCCCCCTTCTCATCCCCCCCCTCACCACCTCCCTCTCCACCTCCTCCCCCCCATCATCCATGAACCCCTCATCATCATCATCAACAAGTCAAAGTCACCACATCCTCTCCCTAACCCTCGCCCTCCCCATACCCCCCTCCCTCAACCCCAACCCCCCACTCACATCCACCACCACCCCCTCCTGCTCCCGCACCGGCACCTCCAGCGCCCCGCCCCCGTGCTCGCTCACGCGCAAAAGCGCGGGTAGGAGGACGAGTTCGTCGCGGTTGGTGCTGTAGCCGTAGGTGCTACTGTCGCGGGTGGGGGTGTTGTTGTTGTTGTTGTGGGTGGGGGTGGTGATGGTGGTGGTGGTGGTGGTGGTGGTGTGCCAGTCGAAGATGAAGCGGTGGGGTTGGGCGAGGAGGGTGCGGCCGAGGGTGGTGGCGGTGGTGAGGAGGTCGTGGAGTTGGGGCGGTTGGGAATGGGGTTGCATCTGGGCTTGTTGGGATGATTCGCCGTTGTTGTTTCCGTTGTTGTTGTTGTTGTTTCCGTTGTTGTTGTTGTTGTTTCCGTTGTTGTTGTTGTTGTTTCCGTTGTTGTTGTTGTTGTTTCCGTTGTTGTTGTTGTTGCCGTGGTAGGGGGCGCTGGTGGGGATGGCAAAGTGGGAGAGGATGGGAGCCAGGAGGTCGTGTAGTTTGGAGATTTGCGGTTGGATGCTGGTTAGCTCCTCTATGTCGGGAGTGGTTGTTGCGGTGCTGGTGAGCTGGCGCTGGAGCAGGCCCATGGAGAGTTTCTGCCAGTGCCAGAGAGCTGAGTGGTTGGGGCGTAGTGGTCAGTAGGTGGGATCAGTTTGTTTACTTGTTCGTTTCTTTAGGGGCTAAGGGTTTGGGGGAGGGTACTGGGGAAGAAAGAGAAAGGGGAAGCCGGAAAAGAAAGAAACACACCTTCAATGCGCTGCTTGTCTTCATGCGGGCTGGGCAGCGTCGCCCAAAAAGCGAGAATAACGGGGGGGAGGAGGATGGCATCGTGAAAGGTACCAAAGTCAATAGCTGACAGGATGGTCACAGCTATGAGATGGCGCAGGGCAGCATGGCGGGTGCCCGGAAAGGAACAGAGATAGGCCAGAAACTGAGCGTCGTGCTTCAGAAAGGGGAGACGCGCAATGGCCTGGATGAGGCCGTCCATGTCGCTGATCTGCGACTCCTCGAGGCTGTAAGTGCTCTCAACGTGGTCTTGGATCTTGGTGCTCAGGTCCTGGAGGCCTGAGATGACCTCGGCGGTGGAGTTATTGCCGGAAACTAATCTGGGAACAGAGTCAGATCTAGCCCTGGCCACGCCGCCAAGGTCAACTAACTCGGCTGTATCGTGGGGAAGATTAGAGCCATCAGAAGCCCGGACATGAGCGAGCTTTTGAGCTCTGCTTTTCATAAAGTACAACATGGCCACGGCCCCGACAATGAGGGCGACAGCAGCGGTTGCCACAGAGATGGCGGCAAGCCCGCTCTTCGTGGGCCATGTTGAGATCTGGGCGGCCTGTGACTGAGCGCTTGACGTGTGCTGGGTGAGGGTGACTGACTCCGTGGTGGTCACAGTGCGGTGATGGGTCGACGTGACCGAGTCGGTAATGGTCGTGGTCGGAGTGCCGAGGGCCGGGCAGAGAGCCGAAGAAACAGCCGACAGGGTAGTCGACGAGAACGGCTCGGGTGTGAAGCAATACGTTGTGAGTGTATAGCAGACACTTGTTGCATTGGGGGATCTGGGAAACCCCCTGGCGGTGATCTGTGGGTTTACCATTTTGTTTGTTGTTGTTAAGAAGGTATTATCGGTCGCTGAACAAAATTGATCATTGTAAATAGATTAACAAGAGTGTGGGCAAGAAAATGCAGGAGGAAGCTTGACGCGTTCCTCCGTCTCAACTCGACCATCCCCTCCCTCTCACACAGAATAACAAAATAGAATTAATTTTATTCCGGCTCTATTACTTCTCCGTACCACGCAGTTGCCATCTGCAATCTGAGGAACCGGGAAAGGAGATTGTCCGACACAAAAGACATCTAAAGGATCTGACAAAGTCGTTTCGTTGTCTACCCCCTAATCGGCAAGTAAGGAGGGAGTGAGAACAAGGCTTGGAAGAAACCTTTGAGGACCATCTTTGGGATACTGTGGGTTATATGAATGTTACCTCAGCGACTTCAAGATCATACACTAACATTCCAAAGAGCAGAGCAAGGGTAGCATTTCCTGTCCCGGATCAAGACCAAGGAAATGACAGTAGTCAGGGGTGTAGCCACACCGAACCGCCCCGTCTTGTCACTCTCAAGCAAGCCAGCGGCTTATTGCAGCAGTGGCAACAGCAGCCGGCCTCATTCACACTGAGCCACGCGATTCAATTGTGTTCCTCGGGCGGCGGCCGCTTGCTGAAAGGAGGTTCGGTGCCGACTCGGATTTCCAACCGAAAGGGAAATAAATAGGTTGGGCAGAATGCTGGGCAGAATAAAACGAAGCAATAGTCATGGGACGCTCCTTAAGGGCTTTCTACGTTCTAGATGCGCTTTTGCCCTCCAGCCATCGGACTGCGTCCCTGGCATGGCACTTAGCATCAGCCAAGTCTCACTCAACCGAGGACACCGGGCGGATCCCGCCCTTCCGGGTGACACGGGGCTAGGTTGAGCCGTTTGATATATGCAATACCATCCCGAGTATTCAAATCGGACTCCACAAAAGCCATCGGTGCCTAGACAATACCCCAAGCCACATCGTCAGGTTCCATGGCACGACGTCAGATCCTGCTGCTGTTACAGATCTCGTCCCCTAGTATGGAGTCGGCAAGGGCAAGCGTTGGCTAGGAGCAGAACGGAATGGCTCCCCGGGCAGCAAATAGTTGCACACGGGACCCGTGCTACCTGGAGATACCGGGCGGTAGCATAGTGTACCCGAGACTGATTTGGGTGTCCTCCCCTGTCTCTTCCCATGCCTGCGTCCGAGACCGATGCACTTCACCGTGACGAGTGCCACCTCTCTCCAACTAGTCTAATTGAGCTGGTAGAGGCTCAACTTGGGATGGGTCTATGCATATACTTCCAATGTAACATTAGTGCCAGACGAGTGGATCAAGTTGACCATATGTGTTACTTGTGAGTCAAGGTGGTATCTAGGAACGCCATCTGCCCGAGGCATTACACCGTCCTCCCTCTTTCAGGACGCGGCCACCAATCCATTCCATGGCTCCGCGCTCAAAGTCACACATGCACGACATCCGGCAACACTCATCGTGTCACCTGTTTTACTCTGTCTGGGAACCCGCAGGTCCAGCTCGGCACTAGAGACAGCAGAGACAAGATGTTTGGCTAATATCCGTCCAGTCTTGTCCGGGATCGGTTCGGAGGCGAAAGACAGCGCCGGCCAAACCTGGCCGGTCCATGACGGACGGCTCGAAGCGGGATCACGGTCAGACGAGAGATGTGTGAGACTCGCGGCTGGGTTCCTTGCGGGCTTAGACGGCACAAGCCCAGACCTCTTTCGAACCCCGCGGCTCTGGGCTAACTCATAGGGCCGCCTGTATGTTACGTTGGCGTATATCTCTTGGGGTATCCTCACTGTCAATGACGCGTTGACAGAGGAACTCGCCAACAGCTGTGGTCAAGCCCGTCCTCCCACGCAACAACACTACCACCTTCGGCGTCACCTTACTCGCGTCCACCCTATCGCTGTCCATTAGATTTAAGTAGGGACAATCTAATCGATACTATCGACCCCCTTGGGACGGCTACCATCGAACCCCTCTCCTGTGATCCCATCCTTCCCCTCAGGGGCAGCTCAACCACTTGGGACAAGCAACACCATTTACCGGTCCTCTTTCCCAGCAACAGCCTCACCAATTCTAGATGAGAAATAGCAAGAACAACAACACCCCCTCGACAGAATGCCCAACATGGTGCTCACCTACCCCCAACCCCCTCTCCTCTCCGAGATAACACAGGTGCCGTCCCGAGATGGATCCTCCATCCGAACGAGCGAGACACAGACTACGGCAAAGGAGACCGCTGCGCCCTCCCCCAAAAAGTCTACAGCAAGACAGATCGTTCTGACAATCATGTACGTAAAGTACAAAACAGCATCATCACTCCCCTGCACAGAAAAGGGGGGACATGGCTATGGCCATGCCCAGAAGCATAAGCGCGAGCTACAGCGCAAAGCACACTAGCTTCTAAAACCACATTCCCCCTTTCTAAAGTGCAGTCACTAATTCGATCCATCACAACAACAACAACAACAGACTCTGCGCCGGGCTAATGTTCTCCTGCCTCGACGCGTCCATCGTCTCGACCGCCCTCGTGTCCATCTCCGTCGAGCTGCAGGACTATCACGACACCCCGTGGGGTGGTGCTGGCCTATCTGCTGACGTATATGAGTGCGTGCTTCCGGCCCTCTTTTCTCGTTTTCATGCTTGGCACCGACACCTTTGCTAACCCTAGCAGGTTTTGCCGTGGGCTTCTCCAAGCTGAGCGACGTCTACGGGCGCAAAAACATATTGGCTGCCGCGTGGTTGTTGTTCACGCTGGGGTCGGTGTGGTGTGGGATTGCCCGGCGGATGGGCGAGCTGTATGCTATCTATCTCTGGTATCTCCCCTTCTTTTCTCGCCAACTGCTGACCAGTTTGCCGCATGCAGCATCGCCGGCCGTGCCGTCCAGGGGATGGGAGGGTCCGGGTTGTATAGCCTGGCCCAGGTGTGCCTCTTGGAACAGGGACCCAGCCGACCCGAGGTGGTGGGTGCGCTGGTCGGGATCACGCTGTCCGTCTCTTTCATCTTGGGGCCGTTGCTGGGCGGTGCTCTGGCCGAGTGGAATTGGCGCGGGATATTTTGGTTCAAGTTGGTACTTTTCCTCTTTAGAGTGAGTTCGATACTGACGGATGTACAGCATCCCCTTTGGCGCGCTGGCCGTGTTGGGCATCTACGCGCTCTGGCCGGAGGAGCGGCGGAATAAGTACAATACCGCGACGGCCCTGGCCAAGATCGACTTCCTCGGCAACCTGCTGCTAGCCGCGGCATCGATACTCCTTGTGTTCGGCATGCAGGAGGCGGGCTCCCTCGTCTGGAGCTGGTCCAGCCCGGTGATTGTGGGCGCACTGGCTACTGCCGGCGCGTGCTGGATTCTGCTCGTGGCATGGGAATACTATCTCTTCCGCCGGCCCAGCTCCGGCCAGCGGGATTGAGCCTATCTTTCCGGTACATCTTGCCAGAGATAGAGTCTACGTCAGCTGTCTGCTGTATGTGCTCCTTTCATACCTCTTTCCTTCTCCCCTCTCCCCGCTTTTCCATCTTTCCCCCCCTTTTTTCTCCAACCCCTTCACCTCCTCCATCCCCCTTTTCACCCCCACCACCTCCTTTCCACCGCCTTCCCCCCAATCACCACCACTTCCCACCTAAATACAATTCACTTCCTAGAACCACCGCTCCTAAACCGGGCCTCCCCTAACCTTCACCCTGGACCCACCCAAACTCCCCGAAGTTACCTGCGCCTCCTGCACCAAGACACCGCCCTCGGCCGCCGGCACCCACCTCGCGCCAATGCTCGGCGCCTGCGCCCTCGGCTCCTTCCTCGGCGGGGCCCTCTCCAAGCACACCAACCGCACCGTGCCGACGGCGGTGGTCGGGGGGGTGCTCCAGGTTGTGGGGGTGGGGTTGTTGGCGGGGTTTTCGAGGGGGTCTTTTTTGGCGGCTTCTTCTGATGGTGGTGGTGGTGGGATGGGGGGGATGCGTCTGGGCCCGCTGCTGGGGTTCACGGCGATCTACGGGCTGGGCGTGGGCCTGGGGTTCGCGGCGTGCACGATGATCGCGGCGATGCAGGCGTGTGGACCGGGAGGGGGGTTGGCGGCGGCGCAGGGCGCGGTGGCGCAGGCGCGGGTGTTTGGCGGGGCGCTGGGGCTGGCGGCGTGTACGGTGTTGTTGGATGGGAGGTTGAGGGAGGGGCAGGTCAGGGCTGGGTTGGAGGGGGAGGAGCTGGAGAAGGTGCAGCGCAGTTTGATGGCTGTGTTGGAGCTGCCGGAGGGGGTGAGGAGGGAGGTGGTGAGGGTGTATTTGAGTGCGTTTGGGGGTCAGATGTTGTTGATGGTGGTTGTGGCGGTGGTTGGGTTGGTGGCGAGTTTTGGGATGTACAAGTCGAAGCCGGGCCAGGTTGTGGAAGGTCATGGAGCACCATAAGGAGCTCGCGGGCAGGCAAGGGGGGAGCGGGGATGTGGAGTTGTCAAGTGTCAGTAGTGTGCGGTCGCTGGCCAGGTAGTTTGGGGTATGTCGGGTTTCTTGTGCTTGGGGTTGGACTTTAGGGGTTTGCATGGGTTCTGATTCACCATCTTGGTTTTCGTCTCTTGTTTCGGCGTTTGGGTCATGAGATTGAGAGGAGCACATTGTCATTGCCATTGTCATTATCGTTTCGTCGTGTGTATGAGGCTAGCTTATGAGGTTTGCCTTAATCGTTGCCGTCCCCGTAGTTGTTGACTCTTCAAGTTCAACGACCGGCCTTTTCTCTTTCCCGTGCTATTCCAGCTACATCCTCGGTGATGGCACAACCCTGGAGTCACACACGACACAAACGGGATTACCGTTGCGGCCGTTGAGGAACCTGAGGCTAGCCATTGAGAGAGATGTGGAACAAACAAAGCAATGAGACACAGCTGACTCTGATCCTGGTTGCGTTCGTGGTGCGTGCAAGGGTGGTCCGTGCCTGTGACAGGTAAGAATTGGAATAATTTTATCTCCGGTGCTAGCTATTGCTTGGTGCCCGGCGGTGCCCTGAACTGACGGAGACACGGGGTATAAAACTGGAGAACGTTTGCAAGCCGAGAACGAGCTACGGGACAGAGGCTGGTAGACCGAACGTCGAGTGTTGAGCATGAGAAACCTGCTCGGTTTTCTCTAGGACGCCGGCATGTTGCGGTCTGCGGAGATGGGAGCAGCACTGAAAGGCGGCGGCCATTGCTGGGATACTCCTTGGCTATTAACCTGAGCTTCATGACTTGCTAGGTCTGGAAAATAAACCAAGTGATAGCGGCGTGATAGTTCTTGAAGATCGGGTGGCCGGTCCAAGTAGTGCGATTCGCCGTTGATCTGGACGCACCAGAAGACCCTAAACCAGCCATTGGCGGTCCTGTACGTCAGAGGCCAGACCTCTGGGTGGAGTTAGTTTGGCTTGGTGACAGGGAAGCATACGTCTGACCACAGCAAGGGGGGGCAACCTACCGCAGCGTTGGCGGTCTTGGGACTGGGGCTCGGAGTTTGGTCGCAGGGCCGTGGTGCTACCCTGAGATGCCGGAGTCGGCTCGGGAGGTTGGTGAGTGTTTGTAGCACCGGTTCGAGATTCCCATGAAGTTGGTTCCTGAGATATTCCTCGCGGCTGCGCGTCTCGAGGAGCCTGGTGATGCTGGTCGGAAACCGGTTGAGCATGGACCAGAACCCCATCAACTGGCGGTCCTTGCGCGGGGGGGACACCGTGGTGCTGCTCCGAGGACGGGGGTAATGGGGGGGGTATCAGGAAACCCCCGGGGCAGATCCGGTACCAATAAGGAGGGCGCTGGGTCCCGTAGTACTGATGGTCGTCGACGGTTGCCGGGATGTCGTCGTCGGGTTCTATCGGCTCTTCAGCGAGCTGCGCGTTGTGGTGAGATGATGCCATAGTGGTGAGGTGTTCGGCCGGAAGGAAGCATGCTGACTCGGAGAATATTGGATTCAAGCGAGGAAAAAAAAAAAGGAGTGGAATTCCAACCTCCCGAGAGACTGGCGATCAGGGTGCATTTTGGGCCATGACTGCTTGGACGATGCCTCCACTCCAGCTCTCTCGCTTGGCTTCGGTGGCGGCGTTGGTTGGGCGCCACGGAGCTCGCGTGACGCGGATGTTCCTAGCCGGCTGGATTAAGGAGTCGGCTTGATGATTTCTCGATGGCGAGTGTGACGGCCAGGACGGGGTTCCGGGTCGATAACGAGGGAGTCGGGATTCGTTGGGGCGTGTTCGCATCTTCCCAATGGTTTTCTTCAGCTTGGCTTCTGCCTTCATCTTGGCCAAAATCCGAGTTCCCTCTTGAGTTGGGACGATTTACCACTGCCAGAATTGGACAGAAAAATCCTCGGGAGGGGCTCGCCAATTCCCCGGGTCCAATGCATCAAGGGAGAATCAAACTCGGATGCCGATTGATGACAAAGGCGCCATGAATTTGATGTTTCTTCGGGAATGCATCTTGTGGGGCCCAGCACAGAAAAGAAACCCTGCCCGGGAGCTGGAGCAGGGGTGTATGGCCCACTCCCCCGCTATTTCCACAGCGGCAGTGAGCGGCCAGTGCCACTGTAACAGGGGCCTCGACTCTCCCTTGGATGAAACCTGGGAGATCACCTGCACTTGTACCAGCGAGTTGCAACTCCACCCTCCGGCACCGAAGTGCTGCACCTGAAGTCGTCATCCCGTCATCCCGTCCCGCGTTCCGCGTCCCGAGTCCGGTCGGTGATCATCATGTCAACAACCGCCTTCTCTCCCCGCGCCGTGACAGGCGACCCCATTCCCACCTTCAGCTACGGCGCAGGCGGGTCCTTTACCATTTTATGCTCTGGCCGCATCGCCGCCACACCACGGGCCTGTCTCGATGTGGTTGTCAAGGCATCAGAATGTTGGTTTATCTACCTACACTAGCCTAGCTCATGAGAGAGAAACAATGGAAGCCATCCGTTATCTAACCACCCCCTTCCCCCCTCACCTACAGACCCCACATGGAACCGCTTCTGCCGAAAATGCACCATTGACTCCCAGCCCAGCCAACCCAACCAGCAACAACAGGATCAAATCAGCCTCCAACTCGGCACGCAATTCACCTTTGACGTGCACCTCGACCCCTCTGAGCCCGACACCAAGACGGGCCAGGCCGTCGCCCTCGAAGTCAGCGCGCTAGAGCCCATCGACGACGATGCCCAAGAGGGCGGTGGCCGCCGCCGGGGATGGCGAATCGCCTGGCGCCAGCGCCCCAGCCTGATGATGCCCTCGTGGATGCTCCGGTCGGAGCGCGTGCAGGAGTTCATCGAGGTCGCCGTCGACGGAAGCGAGAGCCCATCCGGGACCGAGACCGAGTACCGCTGCTGGGAGACCTTCTACGGCGTGCTGGCCCCCGTGGTCCGGCTGGCCGCTGCGAGGCAGGTCGAGGGCGGGTTCGATGCGTGGCTGGCTGGGTTGAAGAGGCTGGCCGAGGGTGGTGAGCAGACGGCTGCTTGAGGGGAATGGGCAACGGTTTGTGTGAGATAGGTGTGTAGTTATTTATGCTATCTATCTTTCGCTACCTATCCCCGCTCGGAACCGTCTTGTGTTTTCGCATCCATCCCTCGCTAACAGGCCTACTTTTCCTTCTTCTTGTCATCCTCTGACTCAGGGTCCACGAACACGTAAGCAGCCTCGTCGATCGAATTTTTCGGCGGCGTCGGCGCCATCCACCCGTGCGTGGTCAATGTAAGCGGCATCCTCACAAGTTTCATTTCATTGATTTTCTGCCTGATTTTCTTGTGCCCCGGGTCTTCGTGGTCATAATAGACGATGTCGCTGTACGTCCTGAACGCCATGGAGACGATGACGGTGAATGGTATGTCTTTGGGTTGATTCTTCGGTGCCTCCTTGCTCCCTTTGGGTAGGGGACCAACAGTGAAGAGGCGGGAAGTCTCGAGACTGTGCATGGTCAGCCAATGAACGCTATGTCGCCGAGATAACAGCCTCGCGGTGAAGAGATGGGAGACGCACAGCCAGACGTAGGGTTTGTTGTTCTGGAGAGGAATACGTTTGTTAGCTGTTCTGAATCGACCATGATATGTGGGTGGGACGTGGCGGGAACACGTTAAGAGGCAAAGAGGTTAAACGTACCTTATTGACCAGGTTGGGTACAGCCTCGCGGAATACATCCATAACAGCGCCCTGCATTTGTTCATCTGCGATTGGGAATGCAAGGTCCGATACCAAAGCATCTTGGCGTTATCCATGTTATGGTCTCTTTTTGTATATTCGAAAGAATGAATATCTGCCGCTAGCGGTGGGTGAGGACGGTGTGGGTAAGAAAGTTGAGCAGAAGAGTGAACAAGACCAGAACAACACCCGCACGAGAAAGTACGGTACTTTATACCCAAGCCAGCCTGGCAATCAAGCAAGAACCCTCTTCCTCACCCTTCACAACACCTTCTTTCCCTCCCCACATACCAAATACCCAGGCACCGGACAGACCTTCCCACCAGCACATGCCCGCCCAGATTCAACGCGGAACGGTCGGCAAGCACCATGTACACAACCAGCCAGAAGCCCACCTTCCTCCTCGCATCCAGTCTAACCACCCTCACCCTCCCTCGCGCAGGCAGGCACGCAGGCACGCAGGCATGTACTCCCACACCTCGACACCCCCCGAACCAACCCATCGCGCCCTACCTGTCAAGCAAAAAAACAAACATATGCATGTCTGTATGCAAGCAAGTGCGTACGTGAAACCCCAGCCCGAGTACGAGGTTTGGGGATGTCCGCCAGCCGCGGATGGTATCACAGGTCAGGTACTATCACCCCCCTCCCAATACTGGCAGTGGGAGTCATGGACGTCAAACATACCATATCTATCGCGTAGAAGGAAGGAGGGTTTGGTTGAGGTGTATGTACATACGTGCGACAATACAGGAAAGAGGACGGAGCAAGGCGGCCACGGCTATCAGACTTAACAGACCGCACCACACCACACCACACCAGACCACACCAGACAGCCCCATAAGATGGCACACGCAATACAATGCAAATATAATAAATAGCAAAAGGGTATCCGCGATCCGTATATCCACAGACGAGAGAGGCAAATATAACACCGAGCGCAATGCAGTGATAGGCACCACGCGCGACAGATAAAAAGAAGAAGAGACCGAGGTGAAACAGAACAGACAGAATATGACCGCCAAAACACCACCATGCAATGCAATGCAGCCCCCGGACCGGATGTGCCCCCCCTCCCCACCCACCAACAGTCATCACTCGTAACCACCTCTCCTTTCCGTCTTCAAGAACCACCATATACCCCCTTCCCCAGACCCCCAGCTCTTGGAAATCTCCCACTACTATCCCCTCCCCCCGAAACCAGACGCCCCTTGCCTCGTACCCAGAGAGACCAGAGCCCTCTCCCCGTAAAGCTATCTAACCACTCCGGTCCCCCTCTACCTCCACCACCACCACCACCGCCGCCATCATCACCCGCAACACGGCTCATCACATTCCCGCATCCTCTCCAACAGCTCCGGCATGCGATACGGCTTCACTCAGCACATCATCACAGCCCGCCTCCTTGGCCTCCAGGATCTGCTCCATGCGAGCGTTGGCACTGACCGCGATGATGGGGATGCGCCCACCGACAATGCGGCCGGTGCGCTCGAGCTCGCGGATGTGCCGCGTGCACGTCAGGCCGTCCTGGACGGGCATCTCGATGTCCATTAGGATCATGGACAGCGGGAAGGGCTGCTGCTGCGACGCGGTGGAGCCGCCCGTCGGTGGCGGGGAGGACGGCCCGCTGCCGATGCCGGGGGACGACGGGTCGGCGGAGAAGGGAAAGGCGCCGCCTGGGGTGGAGTGGCGCGAAGCGGTCCGTTCGGCGGAGCTTATCGAGGGCTTCGATGCCGTGGTTGGCGACGTCGACGGTGAAGCCCATGGTGAGCAGGCCGCGGCGCGTTATCTGCTGGTTGATGAGGTTGTCTTCGACGACCAGGACACCTTTGATTTGTGGGGTTCGCGGCGCCATGCCCGAGCTCATGCTGATCTCGCTGCTGGGGGTGACTGCGGCCGTCGCTGTAGGACTGGCGCCCGAGGTGCCCTCGTGATTTGCGGTGGCAGTAGTAGCATCGCTGGTGAGCGTGCTACTGCTAATAGCACGCTTGTTGCTGCCCCTTCTGCTGAGGCTGGCATCCATTCGCAGAGCCGATAGAGACTCGGCGATTGTCCCACTTGCCGCCACCTCGCGCAGGGCCTCTTCGGATGGCCGGTAGGCCTCGATGTAGAATGCGAAAGTACTGCCGACGCCGGGCTCGCCTACCAGGAATGTCAGCTGTCCGGTTTAGGTGATACGTGCACGGAACGGGTTTTCAATGACAAGAGAAAAAGCTGTTACTCACTCGAAACACCAATGGAACCATACTGTAGTTCAGCGAGGCGGCGGCTAATAAAGAGACCAAGCCCGGAGCCGCCGTACTTGACGTGGGTGCGGCTGGACGCCTGGACGAAGCGCTGAAACAAGCTCTTCTTTTCCTCCTCCGTCAGGCCTTCGCCGGTGTCCTCAACCTCGAACATCAGAAACACGGGGTTAGAGCGGTTGAGGGGGGCCGGCTGGTCGTAAATCTCCTCGAGCGACTCCTCCGAGCGGGGGATAAACGAGACCTTGCTGCTGGCCTCGGTCGGCTCCGTAAGGCTCGCGCTGACGGCGACGGTGACGTTCCTGGTCGGCCCAGTCTTGGTGAATTTCAGCGCGTTGGTGAGGAGGTTGATCAACACCTGCTTGAGCCTCGAGGGGTCAAAGACGAGATACTTAATCCCGACATCGTGGTAGCAGGGGTCGACAACCATGCTCAAGTTGATATCAACTCGTCGGGCTTCGACTTCGAACATCTTGAGCGCTTCCTTGACCATCTTGATGGGATCAACCATGACCCTCGTGATGGAGATCAGGCTCGAGTCCAGCTTCGACATGGTCAGGATGTCGTCGACGATGCGCTTTTGGTGCTGGGCGCAGGTGACGATGGTTTCGGCATTGTCGATGCAATTCTCGGCAAGCTCACGGGCTTCGGCAGCCCACTCTTCGCTTGCATTGATTAACAGCGGTGCTCCGCCCACGCCCGAGTCTCCGGTGCCTCCGCTGGCAGAGTCGGCAATGCTGCCGTAAGGGCTGTCTCCGAGAAGCTCTTGAACGCGGAAGAGGGTGGCCGTGATGGCATCCGCGCAGTGGATGATTGCGCTCAGGGGGTTCCGCATCTCGTGCGAAGTCATGTCGATAAAGTTTTCCTGCTGCCGCTTGGATTCAATAGCTTCCTCCTTTCGCTCCTTTTCCCAGTCGAGTTGCCACTTTTGTAATGACACATCGCTTAGGCAACCTGTAAAGCTCTGAATTTTGCCGTCCGACGTCCTGACGGGTAGCAAAGTCGCCTGGACCCACCGCGGCGCGGCAACCTTATGACCCGAGCCGTCCTCGGCGGTCCAAGTGGTGTTGAGTCTGACCTCAACGTTCTGCACCTTGTCTTCGGCCACCATCTTCTCGAGCTTCTCGGCGAGTAGAGAGAAGTCCTCCTTATGGACGCAACTCTGCCAGGGCCTGACGTCGACGACGGCTGGGTCGACCTTTCGCAGTCCACACATCTCGAAGAAGACGGTGTTCGCCCCGAGCAGGCGTCCGTCGAGATCCATATCGTACAGGCCGACGGTGGCGAACTCGGCCATGCGCTTGAGGTTTTCGGCTTGTTGTGCGCGACGAAGGGCTTCGCCGGCCACTCGCTTCTGGGGAGTCACATCGGTCAGGCACGTCAGGACGCGCATAAGACTGCCATCCGCGGCATATTCTGCCCTCGCACTTGCTAGAACGTAGCGCTCTTTCACATCTACAAGCGAGGCCAGATCGATCTCCTCCTCCTCGAAGTTTGGCGAGGTGCGGGTTAGGGGCGGTGAAGGGTCGGCCTCCTCGCCCCGCCGCCTCACGCGGAACTCGAACTCGACGTTGCGGACCGTCTTGAGCTTCCCGTATCCGGCAATGATAATATGGTGGTCCTGCTCCTTGACGCAGTCGAGGAAGCCCTGGTTGGCGACTGGCCCGGTTCCTGGGTAACCGGTGATCTTATACCAGGCGTCGTTGGCATACGTGATGTTGCCCTCGGGATCGCCAAAGCTCATGCCGACGGGAACGAATTCGGCGACGGCCTCGAACATCTGCAGCGACTCGTTGGCTTCCTTGGTCTGCCACTCTAGCTTTTCTTTGAGCATGGCTTGGTCGAATGCAGCCTGCTCGGCGGCATTCCGGCCCCTCCGCGTCTCCTCCTCGAGCAAGACGATAGAGGCAAGAGACGTGGCCAATTTCTGGCTCAGGAGAGAAATAAACTGCCGGTAATCGTTATCGTACGGGCGTCTGGGGTTGAGGCCGAGGAGGAGCAACCCCATGACGCCGTCCTCCTTGGTCGGCCGGATGGGGCAAACCACGGCAGCTCGGCAAGCGTCCCCTTCAAAACCTCGCCATTGTAACCCCTCGAGCAGGGATTGCGGCAGCGTCCCGTCGATTGTCTGGAGCAAGGTCGGATGCAGGGCCTCCATGGCCTCGCCGAAGGAGAGGCGAGGGGAAAGGTGGCGTCTCGCAGATTGACTGTTGCGGGGGCGAATGGGTGGTTGTCAGGAACCCCCAACGTTCCCGCAAGCCGGCATATCTTGGCGGGGCCGCGGCTGGCGGCCAGCGCATCGGTGGCCGCCTCAGGGTCGTTCTCCACCGTGTACAGGACAGCCAGGGGAATATCGTAACGGGGCTCGATGGCAGCCAGCTCCCGTATGGCCTTCTCCCAATAGCTATCGACGTCTCTCGCGGTGACCAGGACGTCACTGAGCTCGGCGAGCATCTTCATCCGCCGCTCCCAGAGCCGCACGCTGGTTGTCTCGGCCACAGGATGCATGAAGCCAAGACATTCGTTGTTTTCGATGATGGGTATCATGGACCACTTCAGGTAGGTCTCTTCAACCCATGGTAAACCGCCCTCGACCTCTGACTCCCTCTCGACGAAGAATCTCCACTCGCCCTCGACAGGGCCCTTTTGCTCCGAAGAGATGCCGCGCATGGTGTCCTTCAGACGCTGGCCCGCGTCAGCCCAGGCTTCTTGGACCGGCATACCCAACATGGAAGGGTGTTTTGATCCGCAAAGCTTGCTAAAGGCTTCGTTGTACACGATGGTGTACGAGGGGCCCCAGTAGATGGCGATGGGCCGGCTGTCAACGAGGATCTGGTTGACGGTTTCGTCAAGCTTCCTATGCCAACCCCGCATGGGTCCGAGGGGCGTTTCTGCCCAGTCGATGCTGTTTATGTCGTCGAGGAATGGGCGTTGTTCTGTTTGATAGGTTAGCGTACGCTGTGATGTAATAATGCTGCCCCTGACAACGCGGCCAGCCTACCTGGGGTGGTGTCGGGCAATATCCACGCAGGGTCGGTGATTGTCCGCGCAAGGGACTGAACTGCCTCGGCACGAGATGGCGGCCTCTCCTTTGGGTTGATAACCGTGAGGGCCGAGGTAGATTTGGAGCGGGGTTCGATTTCGGGCAAGGAGAGAGAAGAAGCCGAGTTTGAACCGCCGAGGGACGTCATTTCGAGTTCGACAGGCATGATGCGTCGTGGTGGTGAGACGCCGCTGGGCTGTCCATCGGTGAAATCCAGCCGCACCTTGCGCGGCGATTGTGTCAAGGGGAGCTGCTCATTTGCGCCCACCACTACCATCTGCTCATGGACCACGGACCGGGTCCAGTAGACGTTGGAATATGAGAAGGATGCGCTCGCTGCCCGGCCACCGTTTATGGGGGGTTCGGAACCCGGCAGGGTCGAGGTGCCTGTGATCCATCCCCATAGCGGTCCGCAATCTTCGCCCTTAGCGGTGATCAAGTCGAGGAGGGTTGGATAGGCAGCGAAGGCCGGGTTTGTGTAGACGACGGTGGGCGGGTGCGGGGTTAGAGCGACAATAACAGAGGGTCGCGGGTCGGCCTCGAGCAGGTCGATGATACTGGTGTCGAGAATCGAGGGATGCATGGTGAATTCCTTCTGTGAATGCGGTGAGGGCAGCCTTCATGAGAAGCGGGTTGGTGCTCGAATTGGCAGCCGCAGGGTTGTGGCAGCGGGCAACAGCATAGTACCGCGGCTGGGCGCTCTCGATTTCTCGGATATTTCAACCCGAGGCGGCACGACAGTAAGATGGTGGCGGGGAAGGGCAGAGTTGAGTCCCTATCTCGCCGGCGGGTCAGCCGTGATCTGGCTATTTGGTCGTGTCCCGCTCGTGATAGAAAAAGAAAAAAATATCACCGGGTGCAGAAAGCCGTGGATACAAGGTGTCGGGGTGGGTTGACTTTGTCACGGCGCCGAGTGGTCGTTGGGAGTTTGGGGTGGGAGGTCCGACCGACCACTCTGCACTCCAGGCTGTTCCGGGCTTCTGTGTGCGTTAATCTTGGCCGGGTTGGGAATTGGGTCAAAAAAAGACGGGAACTTCAGATCACCCCTCTTGCCCTTTCAGCGAGTCTCCAATCCTGCAAGCAACCCCATTGGTAGAATGTGGGGCTGCGGGGATCCAACGACTCAAAATTTCGGATCAGGGGCACGAGGTAGAGAACCTGCTGCGGTGGCCCAATAATTGGATCGAGTGAGCACAAGAATCGGAATGTGAACTGTGGACTGTGTGTGATGTCGCCATCCCTGCCTTCTATAGTTCTACTTAGGTTGTTGTGAGACTTTTTGACCACAAAGCAACTAGGTAGGTAGTTAGGTAGTTCGTTGCACACAGAAAGAGACCGGTGAAGTGATTCAGGGCTCTGAAAAAGCAGCAGCCCAGAGCGGGGCAGGGTTGGTCAAGTTCGCTGCATAGCACTCCGTATGTACATACCAAGTCGGCGTGCAAGCGTGCAGGTGGTGAAGTTCCCTGTTCCATACTTGGTAGATCTGCAAATCTGGAATTCATTCAACAGCCACAGAAGGGTTTCCACGTCCGCTTTCAACATGTCATTATGTTTCGCGGTCGAGATCTTCCAGAATCAGCAGCATCCATGATCCAAAAAGGCCTAGGATGGACGGCCACCCAAACCCGCCTTGCGCAAAAATGGAATCCGTGTAATCTGTGGAATGCACTGTACCACCTGTCCCCAGATTCATCTCACTCAGCTAGGTAAGGGCCATCCGCTAGCCATACTTCGTAGGTATGCAAGTTATCATTTTGGGAGAGTTGACCATTTGTTGTCCAAGCATTCGGATCCCTAAAATATGTACCTATGTCGGGAGCCTCGAGGGGAGCCATTCGCTGTCGGGTGGGTGGGGCTAGAACTCGGAAATAGGGATCGAGGTGCGGGGGCGGCCCATCCCTATCCAGAACTCCTTACGGCAAGAGCCGCTGTGGCGTGTCGGCAGGGTGCCCTTTCTGGATTTCCAGTTGACACAACAGACAGCGCACAGCTCACAACACACAACACATGCACACCCATGCGCGTCGCTTTTCTTCGCAATGCATGAGCTGATGCCAACATCATCTTTTGGGGCCAAGGTTCAGCCAAGTTTTCTGGGCACTTTGGCAGTTTTGTATGGCATTATTTCTCACTGATTAATGGAGTTGCAATCGAGTCACGAATGGAGAAAAAACAAAAAAAAAAAAAAGGTGAGAGCTCGGCCGTGGAAGAGGTTTTAACCCACCATTTTGGTCGTTGGTACGAAGTCTGCCTTCTCATCCCTGCCCTGCCATCCCATCCCCATCCATCCCGTCCTATCCCATCCGAGTTAGCCGAGTGACGTCAAGGGTACGGCTTCCAGATCCGACTGGCTCAGATCTGAGGGTGTTGCCTATTTGGTGCAAACAACCCGAAGAATAAACAAGGTGACCCTGGGTACAGTACCAGACATATTGACAGATTGGCAGATTGGGACGGCAGATTAATAAAGTATCTGACGGCATTCTGGCCCGGGCCGAGATTTGCTTCCCCCATCGATGGGAATGCTGGAATACGGAAATGATGAAATACCGAATTCAATTCCTCTACTCGGCCTTCCCCCGCAGCCACATCATCAAATCGAACACCTGACCGTTGGAGATCCTTCAAACTCCTCGGACCCTTTCCGGCCCTTGCGACCCACACTTTCTCCCTTCGTTAACCAGCACATGAGGGCGTTATTCTTAACTACCCGGTGTTAGTTAGTCTCCGTGGAACTACTCGGCCCGCCCAGACAACACCAAGCCTCCGAGGATCCGCGCGTTCTTGGCATCATGCTCGATTTGCGGTTAGGATTGTGGTTGGAGACAGGGCCAAGCAGGCCAAGCAGGCCAAGCAGGCCAAGAGCCCTCAAGCCAACAGAAGCACAGACTCCACGGCATGCCATGTGCGGAGATGGGACAAACGAGAATGCCATGGCGCCCTTCAGGAATGGCTTGGAGGCTTGGAACCGCTAAACTGACCATTGGTGTATCCGAGGATGGCGGAGTTCACAAGAAGACATGGCCTCGATGGGACATGCCCAAGACTTGCCCAAGACTCGCCCAGAATCAGACCCGACCAGACTCGACCAGAAATTCAGAATCGACCAGCAAAATCGTCCACGACGTCGCCCAGCAGCGCTGATCTGTCTCGGCGCCAAGCCAATCTGGAGTTCGGGTTGCCTGTCTGTTCGTTCCAAATCGATGCCGAGAACCCACGCCCAGACTTGGCCCAAGACTCCGGCAAACCGCCAAGCAAGAGAAGAAAGGGAGGTTAAAATGGCGACCGGCTCCGGTCTGATGGGATGGCCGGTCCCCAGTGCCCTCTCACGATGCTCGTCGCCCGTTGTCGAATCTCGCAAACGAAACCCCCTCGCCCTTCCATTGATGTCGACCCTGACGTGGACCCCGGTGTTGACTCTGCTGGTTGATCAAGCCGCTCACGACGACCTCCGACCATCTGTAACCTAGGGCGACTGGGGTTGAAACGACACCCTTGACCTTGGCTCATCGCAACGTGAAATCACCTGCGACATGCTTTAACACCTCTTGCTGGCTCACCAGCTGCTCGAATCAACCGTACAACGGCCTCGGAGGCCCGGCACTGGTGGTAGAGAAGAAGGAGAAGGACTGGGCAATCAACAAAAGAGCAGGGTCTCGCCAAATTGAAATGAGGTTATTGTCGACGGTATTATTGGCTCTCGCATCGGGGGCATCGTCAAACCATGTCGTCCAGTTCAACGTCACGAAAGGGCCTCCGGGTATCCACGTCGGCTCCGCGCCGACGCTGGCCCGCCGTGAGACATTCTCGGAGCGCCTCATCAACAACATCGCCGGCGGAGGCTACTATGTCAAGGTGAAGGTTGGAACCCCGGGGCAGGACCTGACGATGCTGCTGGACACGGGGAGCAGTGACGCCTGGGTGCTGGGCCACGACGCAGATCTCTGTACGGACCGGGACTTGCAGAGCCTCTACGGCATGCCCTGCGCCGATACCTACAACCCCGACTTGAGCTCATCCGAAAAGATGATCAAACGGGGCGGGTTCAAGATCACCTACCTCGACGGCGGCACCGCCTCGGGCGACTACATCACCGACGACTTTTCTATCGGCGGCACCACCATCAAGTCGCTCCAGATGGCGTACGTGACCAAGGCCGTCCGGGGCACCGGCATCCTGGGCCTCGGCTTCAGCATCAGCGAGCGGGCCAGCACCAAATACCCCAACATCATGGACGAAATGTCCAACCAGGGCCTGATCCAATCCAAAGCCTACTCCCTGTATCTCAACGACCGGCGAACCGACGCCGGCTCCCTCCTCTTCGGCGGCATCGACACCGACAAATTCATCGGCCCGCTCGAGATCCTACCCCTCTACAAACCTCCAGGGGGCAACTACTCCTCCTTCGAAGTGAACTTCACCTCTGTCGCCCTCACCCACACCAACGGCAGCCAGCACACGATCCCGACCTCGACCCTCTCCCACCCCGCCCCCGCAGTCCTCGACTCCGGCACCACACTCACCTACCTCCCCGAAAGATGGCACAGTCCATCCACGAGGCCCTATCCGCCATCCACGACGCCGACCTCGGCATGACACTCATCGACTGCGACAGCCACCACCTCACCAACCCCTCCTTCCACCTCACCTTCACCTTCACCCCCACCAGCACCATCACCATCCCCCTCCACGAACTCATCCTCGACATCCTCCCTCCCAACTACCTCCCACCCCAAAACCAAAACGCCCACCCCAAAAGCACCAACCCCCCCTCAACAATAAAACGCGCCTGCGTCCTCGGCATCCAATCCACCGCCCAATTCGCCTCCCGCAACACCGACAACCAAGCCCACTTCGCTTTATTAGGCGACACCTTCCTCCGCTCAGCCTACGTCGTCTACGACCTAGCCCACTACCAAATCGGGCTGGCACAGGCCAACCTGAACAGCACCACGTCAACGGTCGTGGAGCTGTCGTCTTCGACGGGCACGAGCACTGCGGCGTCAGGGAGGGGGGAGGATGACGACGACGACCAGGGGGCAGGGACGGGGACAGGGACGGGACTGCCGCGGTTGACGGGGGTGGCGGCGCAGCAGACGACGTTCACGCCGACTTCGACGCCGGGGGGCATTGGGGGTGGCGATGCTGGGGTTGCGGGGACGGGTCCCGAGCAGAATGCCGCTGGTCCGGCGGTGGGGATGGGGAGGATACCGGTTAGGGAGATGGCGGGGGTTGCCGCAGTGACGGGGCTATTCGCGCTTTTGGGTGGCGCGCTCATCGTGTTTTGATGCGGACACTCACGTACATACTATCTCATCTACCTGGTTCCCACCAAGGTACCTTATAGTGCATGCCACATGTGTACCGGGAGGCACATGGGGTTGCTTAATCTTGTACATAATTCAAGTAACGACTTACGAATCATCCAACTTCCTTGTTCACTTGGCCACGGGGCGGAAAACATTTAAGCACCAGTTACGCTGATTCAGGTTAACTACAAAGTAAGGCTAGGGCTGCAAACGGTGAACAGCATTGCGATATCGAAGAGATCAGGTAAAACCCTGTGGCTCCTCCACCCAGCATCATACAGGCCATGATTCCCCGCCGACTGTTCCAATGTTCCACCATCATCTGGCCCTGCCAATCCTCCCGAGGCCATCACTTCCCGAGTCCGTAGTGCCTCGACTGTTCACACAGTCAGAATTTGAAGCCCACGCGATCCCAAAAGGCGCTGCCGTAGGCCAGGTTCGAGGCAACCTCCGGAATGACCAGCGAGCTGATTGACAGCGGTGGCAGCCTGAACCGTACCCAACCGGGCGCTCTCCGTGTTATTCGTGGCCTCCCGAGAAAACTCCATGCCTGAAGTGTGTTCCATGGCCGACGTACCCATGGGGTTCGGCCTGGCCCAGGACTGCATTGGAACGTCCAGAGAGCCCATGCGTGGGTGACCGCCCGTGATTTTAGGAGAGGCGCCCAAGAGGTAAGGTGAAGCGGCTGCAGCCCCCTCACTGGCATTTCTAGCTATCTCTTTACCCTCGCGAGTGGTCTGGGGGGAACGCGGCGAGGCAGCCTCAAGCCATTTCGACCAGGTACTGGATTCCTTGTCGACAGCAAAGCTTGCCGAGCTATTGAATGAGGTCTTCTCAGCAGCCGTAGGCCCGTCCTTTGAGCGGAGAGTCGCCAGGCTTGCCGGACTATTGAATAAAGTCTTCTCAATAGGCGTGGGTAGAGCCTTCGAACGAATAGTCGCTAAGACTTCATCCTCTTCAATAATCTCGGCGGCCTTCTTGAAGACTTGGGCGATGTACTCGGCCTCAGTCCCCCCGGCGCTCATCTCCCGAGACACCTCCTTCAGGGCCTCGGCCAAACGGGACTAGTGCTTGATGGAGGGTGGATTTAGCAGCAAGTTCCGACGGGATCCGGTGTAGCGGGCTCATCCACGGTCTTCTCTTCCAGATATGTGGCAGCAGGCTCCGACAGGGTCGGCGTAGCAAGCTTATCCACGACCTGGGCTTCCAAGGATATGGCAGCAGGCTTCAACAGGGCCGGCGTGACAGGCTTATCCACGGCCTGGTCTTCCAAATGCTCGACAGCAGGCCCCGTGCAGGTCAGACCAGCAGGCTCATCCACATTCTGTTCTTCCAAGTCAAGGAGATCGTCGGACTCTTGGAACGAGATTCGTGCTTGTTTTTTCTTTTGATCACTGCTGGAGGCGGCAGGTTGGCTGAGGATCTCATCCCAGGCGCTCATGTTGTCATCAACGCCAAGGAGAGAGGAGCTAGGAACGTTGATGGCCACCTTGGGAACGCTGTTGGCCGTCTCAAAAGAAGCGGGAGAGCTGTTGATTGCCTCGTGAGAGACGGAAACGCTATGAGCAGTTTCAAAAGAGGTTCGGGTGCTGTTGATCGCCTCGCGAGATGTGGAAACGCTGGTGGCCGACTCGCGAGAGGCAACATTATTGTCAATGTGGGGAGATTGGACAGAAGAATTGCCAGTGGCCTTCCCCCCAGCATCGGCGCTGCTGTTTCTGAGCCCGTTCTGGTTGCTCGTACTGCTGCTGATATAATACTAACTAATGCCGTTGCACCAAAGGG